CCACGACTCACCAAGTTAGGGATAAAAATGCTCCAGTCTGGCATTCAGAACTGCTGTATCAATTAGACTCCCACTGATTATAAGCAAAAGAACCGACTCCGGCTAACGTCAGCAGAAAAAGATGTAGGCTAGTTCACAAAAGTGAGGTTCCAATCGTTTTCCTTCTTTGTATGATGCTTTTCAAAATTGTCATACTTAGAGGATGTCTGACTCTTGTTAATAGGAAGACAGGGAACACTGACTGAAAGACCACCTATAATTATCACTTTGATCAACTTTCACAGTACAATGCCCTCTGCTAGACACCCTATAGTATTCTTTGAAAATTAAGTGAGCCACCACACTACAAGAACAGCCAGAATTTTACTGGGAAGCAAGTCAGTAGGGTAAGAGTACCGCCTGTATCTTTAAGAGGGTAACAAATCTTCCACTTTCAAATTCAAGAAAGGCGCAATGATCTCGCGTAGTTCCCACATTCTGCGGCGCCCAAGTACGGTAGGGAGAGTCCTTTCAAAGACAAATGTAGGATCAAGAAATTGGATGTAACATGAAAGTCCAGCGAAGGTGAGGCCATAAAATATGATGAAAATCCTCTGGGCGCGTTTCCTACAAGGAAGAAAACATCCGTGTTTAGAGCAGTTTGAGGAAAATCGCAGCGGTGTGACTGACTCCTAGTTCACCCACTCAGGTGGTTCTATAACTTTAAGTACGTGGCTGAATTTCTCTGGACCTCAGCGACCATCTGCAAAAGATGGAACATTGGAACATGCAGTAGGTGAGCACTTAGGTTCATTGGCATTGAAATTCCAAGAAGTATCTCTAGCCATGAAAGAATGAAACCCTGCCTTTTGTGAGCTCTTTCCTTTGAAAGGCTCTTCCCCGAGTCTAACAGGAGATTGCCTTCTCCCTTCCTTGTGAGGTACTGAGGCCTGTTTGGGGGGAAATAAAGTCACAGGCAGTTAGATTTTTCTTGTGACAAATGGACTTCAGCTTGCTCTGTCACCGGTTTTGTCCTGGCACCAGGCTCGCCCTTCTGAAGTAATACAGGCTCTTTCAAGTCTGCACTCCTTTTCCCGTCCTGTCTATGATGTATTTTATTTATGTGCTTTTAAGTCCTTGCATCGTTACTTTCTAATTGTGAATGCGACACATGATTAGGGTAGAAGATCTGGAGAATCCAGAAAAACACAAAGAAGAAAAGAGATGTCAGAGATAATCCAGTGCCCTGGAGGTAATTATCATCTATAATACACTTCAGAAGAGAAAAATCTACGGCGCAGCTAAAGCTAGCTACGGTTGTACTTTGTGAACCAATTCAGTGGATTCTATAAACCTGAGCCAAGTTTCTTGGTGTTATCGCCACGGGCTATCTCTTGGCAGTTACGCAAATGCCAACCTCTACTTCACACATGTATTAAAGTGCTAATATTCTTAAAACACTCCATGCAGAAGAGGCTTGGAGGGCACCTAAGACGAAGCAGGGAAGTCCTGCCCTCACGGAGCACTAAGCCTAGGTTTGTTCTTTCTTATGAAAAGGAAAACAACTTGCTACCAAAACGAATCTTGTAAATAAATACTCTTCTTCCTAAATCCCAAAACTAATCACTTTGGAAATACTAAACTGGAGCGTTTTCAAAGAAACGCATTTTAATGTTACATTTTGCAAGAGAAAAACCAGTTTTCTGAATTACAAATAGCTTGGAAAACAGAGGAATGAAAAGTCTAGAATCCCATCACCTTAATATAGTAAGCTATTTTTTTTCTTTCCTTACCTTTTTTTCCCATTCTTTCTTTCTATTTGGTTGGAATTGTTTTGTTTTACTTTGTTTTATTTTGTTAGTCTTTCTTTTGGTTTGGAGTGTGTCCTTCTAGTTTTTTCTTTCCTTCAGTGGGCAGTGTAGGGATGGCTGGATTCAGATTTATTTCTTGACACTACTGAATCATTTGATTTTTATTTACAATATAACACAAATGTTACTTTAAAAATGTTTTCCTATTATTAAGCAAATAAAAGAACAGATGTAAAACTCATTCGTAAAAGTTCAGATGTTTTTCTTTGGAAAACATCATGTTTACTAAATCAGAAATAAGTGTTTTCATGATGTCACCTGTACAGAGCCAAAAATGAGTGCCATTAATAATGTCATTCATTTTGAATTTATCTTCTGTAAAGAATAAAAACATTCTTTTGATTTTTTGAATGTCTACTTCCTTATTCAAATTTTGCCATGTATATATTTAACCTTCCAAATGTTGACGTTATTTGAGGTCTATAGGTAGGGGAGGACTGAAAGGGAACTGAGGGACTGTGGATAATACCAGAAGGCCACCCTCTGAAGCTAAAACAAAATTGATATATGATAATTGACTAAGTTTGCAAGATAAACGTCCTCAAAAAGATAATGTATAAATAAGCTTTAACAGAGCCAGTATGTTTCCAGTTCTCTGACAAGAGATCGGTCAAAGGCTCAGGCAGTCTTAACTAGAACGTGGTGATGTGATCAACGCAGAGACTCAGCTGGATTATAATCTGCACATATAATATAATTAAGTGATCACCGAAAGGCAAGTTTCTTTTTGAGATATAATTCACATACCACTAAATTTACCCTTTGAAATGTATAATTCAGTGGCTTTTAGTTTATTCACAAGATTGCACAATGATCATTGGGATCTAATTTCAAGAAATTTTCATCACCTACAAAAAAAAAAAACCCTGGACCCGCAAACAGTCACTTTCTACTTCCCACTACCCCCATGCCTGGCAACCACTAATTTACTTTCTATCTATGTGGATTTTCCTATTTTGAACATTTCACATCAATGGAATCATAAAATATGTGGTCTTTTGTGTCTGGCTTCTTTCACTTAACATAATGTTTTCAAGGGTCATCCATGTTGTAGCATGCATCAATATTCTTCGTTGCTGAATATTACTCCATTGTATGGATATATTTGAATCTATTACTCACTGTTCCCAGAGCTTTTGGCTTCCCTTTCTGTGTGGCCTGGAAATTCCCTCATCCATCCCCCAACCCTCCTCCCTGCCCCGCAAAATTAGTCACTTCTTGATTAACCTTGTATGGAATCTTAGCCGAATTGTAATCTCAGGTAGCTTTTGCTCCTAGCATAGCATGGTAGTTCTTAAACTTTGAGTCCTAAGAATTGTTAGGGGAAACTATAAAAACAGAAGATATTAGAGATTCACCCTAGATCTAAAGGTGCAGAATTTCTAGAGGTGATGCTCAAGTGTATAATTGAATGTCTCTTTGTGTGAAATTCTGTTACATATCACAGCTTGACAACCACTCACAAGCAAATTTCACATTTCTAGCAACTGATACCGTTTTCTGGGTATAGAACATCAGGATAAGTGGCATTTGGAGTCTCCTCTTTTCTAAGGTTGTGCATACAATAGTAGTCTGTGGAAGTGGAAACAATAGACTGCTTTGCCCAGCAGTCATCCATTTGAATGAAAAGGCCTATTGGAATGCAAACATTATAAATGGAAAAGATTGGGGGCTGATCTGAGAAAAATTGCTGTAGAAGAACTGGAAGAACTTGGTGATTTCTGGAGTTTTAAAACAAAAAAAGATAGCAAAAAAGTTGAAGATTATTCAAGGTCGTGAAAAGGCAGAGGCGTTGGGAAAATGGTTAGGATGGAAATCATTGAACAAATATTGAATGAACACTGGGTAAGGTGACAGGAAAGCCACAAAGAACACATAACCTAGTTTATATCAACAGGTTTGAGTACCTACTATGTGCACAGCATTGTCCTAAAGTGTACCAGGGCACAGTTCTCAAACTGGGATTTGTATTAGATTCAGCTGGGCAGACTTTTAAAAATAAAGTTCCTGGGCCCCACAGCAGCTCTTCTGAATCTAAATTTCTGGATATATAAATATCTAATATATGAAGTTGGAAATATCTAATATATAATGTTGGGAGCCGGGGCTATGTCCCTTCCCCCACGTCTGAACGCAGCATGGGAAAGCACAAGCTTGAGAGCAACCGGTGCAGTCCTTGGAAGTTATCTGCTCACAAAAACGTATCTTGTCCTTGAAGATGAGCCAAGACTGCTCACTCTGAAAATAGGGAGACCTTGAGGATGTGTGAAAACACCTCCCCGCCAGCGCCACCTAAGGTCCAATTATCTCCTGACCCACCCCTTACCTGCTACTTGTATAAATTGAGCCTGTAAACAATAAACTTCGCCAGCTTAATCAGACATCCTGTCTTGCTGGTCATTCTTTGTGTCTCTTGCTTGTCTCATTTCTGCAGGCGTCTCCGGCACACTCCACGTTCGTCCCGCGGGCCGGGACAATATAAAGCTCCCCAGGTGATTCTGATTCATCCAGTCAATGGACCAGTGTATGGACATCACTGTTCCAGAGACCACAGAAATGAATGAGGCAGGGTGTTTGTTTTTAAGGAATGTATAAACTGATAGGTTGAACAATATGCTCTATCAAGTTCCCTGACTCCACCTTACATCCAGGGCTTCTAAATTTTACACATGATGTTTCTTATCTCTGAAATGCCTTTTCGTCATCTCTGCCAAGAACATGTTATCTGTCCTTCGTGATCTATTCAAATGTGAGGAGAACTGGGACATCATTCCACGTCACCCTCACTACTCTGCCAAACCCAAGTGTGTTGCGTAACCAAAAATCATAAAACCCACCCATCATCTCCTTTTCATTCCCATTTCCACCTCTTTATCTCACGTGAACCACTAAATGGCCTTTCACCTGATCTCTCACACTCCATCTGCTCTCTTCCAATTCTTTATGGCTCTATTAATCTTGCACGGTTCAATAAGAACTATTTTTCATATTGCAAATAAGGTTTACTATTTCCCCACGACTCACCAAGTTAGGGATAAAAATGCTCCAGTCTGGCATTCAGAACTGCTGTATCAATTAGACTCCCACTGATTATAAGCAAAAGAACCGACTCCGGCTAACGTCAGCAGAAAAGGATGTAGGCTAGTTCACAAAAGTGAGGTTCCAATCGTTTTCCTTCTTTGTATGATGCTTTTCAAAATTGTCATACTTAGAGGATGTCTGACTCTTGTTAATAGGAAGACAGGGAACACTGACTGAAAGACCACCTATAATTATCACTTTGATCAACTTTCACAGAAGTACAATGCCCTCTGCTAGACACCCTATAGTATTCTTTGAAAATTAGGTGAGCCACCACACTATAAGAACAGCCAGAATTTTACTGGGAAGCAAGTCAGTAGGGTAAGAGTACCGCCTGTATCTTTAGGAGGGTAACAAGTCTTCCACTTTCAAATTCAAGAAAGGCGCAATGATCTCGCGTAGTTCCCACATTCTGCGGCGCCCAAGTACGGTAGGGAGAGTCCTTTCAAAGACAAATGTAGGATCAAGAAATAGGATGTAACATGAAAGTCCAGCGAAGGTGAGGCCATAAAATATGATGAAAATCCTCTGGGCGCGTTTCCTACAAGGAAGAAAACATCCGTGTTTAGAGCAGTTTGAGGAAAATCGCAGCGGTGTGACTGACTCCTAGTTCCCCCACTCAGGTGGTTCTATAACTTTAAGTACGTGGCTGAATTTCTCTGGACCTCAGCGACCATCTGCAAAAGATGGAACATTGGAACATGCAGTAGGTGAGCACTTAGGTTCATTGGCATTGAAATTCCAAGAAGTATCTCTAGCCATGAAAGAATGAAACCCTGCCTTTTGTGAGCTCTTTCCTTTGAAAGGCTCTTCCCCGAGTCTAACAGGAGATTGCCTTCTCCCTTCCTTGTGAGGTACTGAGGCCTGTTTGGGGGGAAATAAAGTCACAGGCAGTTAGATTTTTCTTGTGACAAATGGACTTCAGCTTGCTCTGTCACCGGTTTTGTCCTGGCACCAGGCTCGCCCTTCTGAAGTAATACAGGCTCTTTCAAGTCTGCACTCCTTTTCCCGTCCTGTCTATGATGTATTTTATTTATGTGCTTTTAAGTCCTTGCATCGTTACTTTCTAATTGTGAATGCAACACATGATTAGGATAGAAGATCTGGAGAATCCAGAAAAACACAAAGAAGAAAAGAGATGTCAGAGATAATCCAGTGCCCTGGAGGTAATTATCATCTATAATACACTTCAGAAGAGAAAAATCTACGGCGCAGCTAAAACTAGCTACGGTTGTACTTTGTGAACCAATTCAGTGGATTCTATAAACCTGAGCCAAGTTTCTTGGTGTTATCGCCACGGGCTATCTCTTGGCAGTTACGCAAATGCCAACTTCTACTTCACACATGTATTAAAGTGCTAATATTCTTAAAACACTCCATGCAGAAGAGGCTTGGAGGGCGGCTAAGACGAAGCAGGGAAGTCCTGCCCTCATGGAGCACTAAGCCTAGGTTTGTTCTTTCTTATGAAAAGGAAAACAACTTGCTACCAAAACGAATCTTGTAAATAAATACTCTTCTTCCTAAATCCCAAAACTAATCACTTTGGAAATACTAAACTGGAGCGTTTTCAAAGAAACGCATTTTAATGTTACATTTTGCAAGAGAAAAACCAGTTTTCTGAATTACAAATAGCTTGGAAAACAGAGGAATGAAAAGTCTAGAATCCCATCACCTTAATATAGTAAGCTATTTTTTTTCTTTCCTTACCTTTTTTTTCCCATTCTTTCTTTCTATTTGGTTGGAATTGTTTTGTTTTACTTTGTTTTATTTTGTTAGTCTTTCTTTTGGTTTGGAGTGTGTCCTTCTAGTTTTTTCTTTCCTTCAGTGGGCAGTGTAGGGATGGCTGGATTCAGATTTATTTCTTGACACTACTGAATCATTTGATTTTTATTTACAATATAACACAAATGTTACTTTAAAAATGTTTTCCTATTATTAAGCAAATAAAAGAACAGATGTAAAACTCATTCGTAAAAGTTCAGATGTTTTTCTTTGGAAAACATCATGGTTACTAAATCAGAAATAAGTGTTTTCATGATGTCACCTGTACAGAGCCAAAAATGAGTGCCATTAATAATGTCATTCATTTTGAATTTATCTTCTGTAAAGAATAAAAACATTCTTTTGATTTTTTGAATGTCTACTTCCTTATTCAAATTTTGCCATGTATATATTTAACCTTCCAAATGTTGACGTTATTTGAGGTCTATAGGTAGGGGAGGACTGAAAGGGAACTGAGGGACTGTGGATAATACCAGAAGGCCACCCTCTGAAGCTAAAACAAAATTGATATATGATAATTGACTAAGTTTGCAAGATAAACGTCCTCAAAAAGATAATGTATAAATAAGCTTTAACAGAGCCAGTATGTTTCCAGTTCTCTGACAAGAGATCGGTCAAAGGCTCAGGCAGTCTTAACTAGAACGTGGTGATGTGATCAATGCAGAGACTCAGCTGGATTATAATCTGCACATATAATATAATTAAGTGATCACCGAAAGGCATTCACTTATTCACTCATTTGCCTGTTTCTTTTTGAGATATAATTCACATACCACTAAATTTACCCTTTGAAATGTATAATTCAGTGGCTTTTAGTTTATTCACAAGATTGCACAATGATCATTGGGATCTAATTTCAAGAAATTTTCATCACCCACAAAAAAAAAAAAAACCCTGGACCCGCAAACAGTCACTTTCTACTTCCCACTACCCCCATGCCTGGCAACCACTAATTTACTTTCTATCTATGTGGATTTTCCTATTTTGAACATTTCACATCAATGGAATCATAAAATATGTGGTCTTTTGTGTCTGGCTTCTTTCACTTAACATAATGTTTTCAAGGGTCATCCATGTTGTAGCATGCATCAATATTCTTCGTTGCTGAATATTACTCCATTGTATGGATATACTACAATTTGTTTACCTGTTTATCAGTTGATGGATATATGTATGGTTTCTACTTTTTAGCTACTATGAACAACAGTGCTATGAAAATTCATGTACAGGTTTTTGTGTGGACATATGTTTTCAATTCTTTTAGGTGCATATCTAGGGGTGTGTCAGATGGTAGCTCTATATTTAACATTTCCAGGAACTGCCAAACTGTTTTTCCGAAGTGGCTGCACCATTTTAGAATCCCAACAGCAATGATTGAAGGTTTTAATTTCTCCACATCCTCTCCATTGCTCGTTATTGCCTGTCTTTTTAATTATGGTTGCCTTAGTGGCATAAAGTGGCATCTTGTGATTTTACTTTGCATTTTCCTAATGACCAATGATGATGAACATCTGTCCATGTGCTTATTGGCCATTTGTGTGTCTTCTTTAAAGAAATGTCTATTCAAGTCCTTGGCTCATTTTGAAAATTGGGTTGTTTACCTTTCTGTTGTTAAGTTGTAAAAACTCTTTATTCTGCACACTAAATATTAGTATCCAGATTCTTTAGATTTATTTTAAATTTATTTTTAAACAAAATAGACATGGAAATACATGTGCATTTAATAGCAGCTGGAGACAAACAATAAATAACTAAACTGGATACTAGATACTATATATGTTCTGGATACTAAATCCTTAACTACCAGGGCTCTGAAAAAGTTAGTGCTGACTTTTTTTTCCAGCTCTCTCATTGATTTTATGAGGAGGAAATTTTCTGGGACCTTTACTTTACCATTTTTGTTGACATCACTCCTTACCATTTATTGATTCATATTTGTTAAGCACAATGAACATCATCTGTATTTCATGTCCCCAAAAAAGATCAAGATTCCTACCTCCAAGTGACCCATGGAATATTAGGAGATAGATTTGAAAACATTTAATTGCAATAATATGCTGTGGGCTCTATGTCATTACTATGTGCCAGGTATACACATAGAGCTTCCACCTGGGATAAAGAACCAGAAACGTTTTCTTAGAGGAGGGTATTGCTCACGGTATATATGATGGTGTGGCATCTCCAAAAAGGGATCAAAAGAGTCAGAATTTGCCAATAGGGACATCTTCAATACTATACAAGACAGACATCCTGCCCTGAAAAGGCTTTCAGACCTGCTTGGCAGGCTTGTTCCTTTGGGGGAGGTGACTGCTTCACAGCCTGCAGACACCATCCTTTAAGATTCATGTATATATGGTTACTTAAAGCCATAAGAAAAATAGATACCTAATGCAATAGATCTTTATCTAAAATAAGAAAAATACCATGACTCTAATAAACAAATAGACTTTTAAAGACAGGACTAGATAAATTACAAATGAAGGTAAAACAAAATTTTTAGTCAACGCTTGAAGACAATCAGTCTTACTATAGTCCATACATGTTGGGGCCTTTGTCCAGCCCCCACAGGCCCCTTTCTCTGACTTACCATGTGGTAGCGCGGGGAGGAGAGTTCTGCCCTAATGGGGGTGGTAGAACCTGAGGAAGCAGAGGTTCCATTTCTTCAGGACTCAGAAGGTCTGTTTTCCCTTCTTGCGTTTGGTACATTCTCAGCTTTGTATTCATCAGACTTATATCCTTGCAAAAGATGGGAACAAAAAGAGTGATCAACTATCATTTTTTAAAAAAGTGACCCCAGATGTCTGCCAGTCTTATTGTAGGTGATGCAGAATGCTTTTCCACGAGGACACCTCAGGTTAAAAATTGCAGATGAGTCACGTGAGGAGGTCACTGGCAGGTGCACACTCACCCAACAGAGAGAGACTTACACAGTCACAGAGTAAGGTAGCACCATGGTAGAAAATTAAACAAAACCCACATGCTAATCTTTAACTACTGGATTATTCCTGTAGGAAGATAATTACCCTTGTACTGAATTCATCTATTCAATTTGCTCAACTATGCAAAACATATTTACTGAGTGACTCCTACCAGGCACTATTTTAGGATACAGTGGTGAGCAAAATAGGCTAGGAATGTGCATTCTATTGCATGTGCATTTTTAAACAAAATAGACAAGAATTTACATGTGCATTTATAGTGGCTGGGGGACAAACAACAAACAACTAAATGCATAATTATGCTTGATGTGATAGATACTTGCTAAAGAGAAAACAAGTTGACAAGGCAGAGTGGCTGAGGTTTGGTGGCGAACACCTTCTCTGGATGGGTGAGACGACTAGGCATCTCTGAGCAGGTGATAGGTTGATTCACTCATTCCTTGTTTCATTCGCCCGTTTACTTTTACCTCAGTGTGTAAGTTCTTGGGCGAGGGGTTCAGAACTGGAGTCATTTTCCAGCAGAGGTGAGGGGAGGTCTGGAAGAGGAGATGATATTTGAGCTGAGCCTTGACGAATGGATGATGTAGACTCGGAGGAGGAGCTCCAGTTGGAGGGGATGTAGAAGCAGCAGACGAGTATGAGAGCTTGCGAGTACAGACCTATGAAATGTTCTCCTGGCCTTGATCAGAAGGCCACGAGGGGACAAGAGGTGTGAGGCTAGGAAGAGAACTGTATGTGGTAGACTCTCAACTTCTAGGGCAAGAATTTTATTTAGACGAAAATTTTTATTTTATCGTTACTTAAACTTGTGTAATGGTAAAATCTGACCTCTATTCTTGCGATGAGTTTCTCCTTTAATTCATGAGCTTCCTTATAAGCATCTGCCTGAAAAGACACCTACAGTTTGGGGTAAAGTAAAAATTATATTTTTCTGCCTTACACAATAAAACCTCACTCATTTGGACACCACTTAGTTGTCAAATGGCTTCACTGAAATTAACTTGTAGTCAGTAAATATCCTTCCTCTTAGAGCAAATTCACAGTGTAATCATGATAAACTGCAGGAGGAATGACCAAAATATTAATAAAGTTATTGTAATAATTTAGAAGTATACATTTACATAAGAGCAGCTTATTATAAATCATCATTCTCCCTATTCATTCTTTTCTTTCCTTGCTTCTGTAGAAACTTCCACCAGGACACTAATCGGAGACCCATAGCATGTTTCAGAGAAGAAAAGAAAAAACTGTATGTCTTTCAAATACTTTAAAATTTATAACATGTAAATGAAAGCCCTCATTAGAATATTTGGGCCTGATGGTTTATCAAAGGAACGGTCTACAGAAAGTGTCTGGTTTCTCTTTTCTTCCCAGGTCTCCCATATGTTGGCAGGTAGTGTAACAGATGCTCTGGTTGGTTTCTATCAGTAGGATCAACACACGGGCTGAAGGCAAACCTTCTAAGACATGAATGCCAACGGCACACACGTCAGGAGTACATAATGCTTTTAAAAGGTTTTTAATTAATCATGCCATAATAGGCTTGCAGGAAACCTTGTAAAGTGGAGCTATAGGAAGAACAACAAGATTCTGGGATTCAAGAAAGATGGGTTCCTGAAACTGATTCTTGAAGAGGTACTTGCAAAAGCAAGCTAAGATATGGATTTCTGAGACATAGTTGGTAGTGGCAAACATTGATTATAAAGCCCCAAATAGCCAACAAAATAAATCAAAAACTCAAATCCTACTTTCAATAAACAGTGAAAAGAGCAATGGTAAAATCTAGTGGCATAGAAAGTTGATGAGAAGATGCTAAGTGAAAAAAAGCAAGTTGCAAAAGAATATATAAAATACAATCCCATTAAAAAAGTAACAATACTTAAATGTATGTCTAGAAAAATTTGGAAGAATACAAATATACTAAAATGGTCATTGTGTTTATCTTTGAAGGATGGTATTAGTTTTCATTTTTATATGAAATAGTTCTATAATGCTTTTTTTAAATTCACTTTATTATCATTAATCTACAATTACATGAAGAACATTATGGTTACTAGACTTATTAAAATAAGCATGTATTACTTTTGTTAGAAGAAAAATATACATATATTTTTTAATGGTAGGGCAAGAATGAGACTGGTTCTTTCCATCTGGAAATATGGACAAATTACTTCATGGTTTTGAGTTGTGCTTTTCTTTTCTGAAAGTGAGGGTAGAAACAAAATGGCATTAAGTTCCCTTCTAGGTTAAAAATTCTATCTTTCATCAAATTTTAGATTTCATTCACAAAAATTTTCTAAATCAGAGATTTCCTTGAAGAACTGTTTTATTCCCCTTAATTATAAAGCCATTTCACCATTACCTGGACAAATTTGTTATCTATTTTTCCTAATTGCTTCTTAATTTCCATGATCTTCTCCTTTAAACAAAAGGGTATAAAACCAAAGTTGTAATGAATATGTGGAATTGAAACAAAACAAAAGACAATTTTGAGAAGCTCATTCATGATAAAAAAAAAAAACTGAGATTTAATAGAAGCTTTTTTTCCATACTGTTCTGGGTATGGATCACCAAAATCAATATTAAATCATATAAACAAGATATTATTGGCCACACTATGTAAGCGGCCATTGCTCCAGGCATTGTGCTGGCTGGATACAAATAATAAAGCGTGTTTGGCCTCAAACAGCTTATAGGGAATATACAGTCCACACCCTTCTACCAAGTTCATTCTCCACCAGCCCTTGGACTGCATGATTTAATTATTTAGAAAGGAGCTGTGATGTGCTAATCATATTTCACTTGGCACCCCAGCTTATTTGTATAGTAAATATCTTTACACAGTACTTATCAAAGATAACTGAGGTAGGAATTAGTCTCAGAATGAAAATCTAGATACTTGTGTGAAAATTTCAGAAAGCTTCATGGACTTCACCCAAAGGCCATCTCAAAGTTTTTTCCTCGGCTTTAAGGTCTTTCAATCTGTGTGTGTTGTATGTGTGTATTTTGAAAGTGATTTTATCAATTTTTCTCCTCCCCCTTCGTGCCTTCCTGAGTCATTCCATTTCTTTGTGAGAAATAAATGAGTCAGTACATGTGATATTACTTTATTAACTTATTAACTTTATTAACTTTATTAACTTATTTCTCCTTTAATTTTCCCACACCCTGTTTGCCGTTCCTATATCTAGTTCCGACAATCTTCACTTTTTCCTTCACTAGAGTAACCTACGGCCATTCTAACTGCCTTTCCTTCTGTAACAATTATATTTAAAGTTCCTTGTTCATCATATTACTGCATTTGGTTTTATGTGGCATGTCCCATCAGCCTGAGAACAGAACTTGTGTCAATTTTTTAAACTTATATTTACTGAGATATAATTTATATAAGGTAAAACTCACCTTTTCAAAGTGTACAGTTCTATGAATTGTGACAAGTGAACATGGTCATGTAATCAAGACGACAGCAAGATATGGAACATGCCCACCACACCCAAAATGTCCTTGTACCCCTTGATCAATCCCTTCCTCCCTTTCCCCACTCAATGCCAGAAATCACTAATCTATTTCTTGTTCTTGGGGTTTTTGCCTCTTCCAGAATGTTACATAAATGGAATCATGAAGTGTGTAATCGTCTGAGCCTGGCTCCTTCCACTTAGCCTCTTACATTTGAGATTCATTCATGCTGGTCGATGAATAAGAAGCCCGTTCCTTTTCATTGCTGGCTAGTATTCCATCATCTAACATGCATCACGATTTATTCGCACACCAGTTGGTAGATATTTGGGCTGTTCCTAGTTTTCAAGTCCATGCCTGTTTTTTCAAGATGCATACAAAGCCTTGAACCCCTAGCACGGAGAATCTCCACACATATGTGTGATGCCTTCCCCCTTTCATGGTATCCCAGCCCCTTGTTGGTGTTTTCTTTTTAATCTCATTTTCATATATCTTTGTGCTCTCTGATCTTTCTCCTCATTCTTTTGACAGTCATCACTCCCTAGCCCTGCCTCCTACCAAAATCCACATTCCCATAATAGAGCTGACTTTGGAGGAAATTTTCTAAAGCAGAGTAATTCTCCTTCTTTGTCACCTTCCCTACTTTCACAGTTTGCAATTTCCAAAGCACAAAGCTAGTGAAAATGCTCTTGACTTTTCAACTAGCACAAAATGAGGTTGCTACTTCGAAATGTTAGACTAAACCATGGTCAAAGTAATTTTTTCCTTGGTGATATATCTGTGTGTGGGGATGGTCTGCAGATGGCTTTTAATGAATGAGGGGTCTAGATAAACATTACCTTCCTACAATAAAAGAGGCATTTTTCCTTTACTTCTTCCAAAGTCCACTTCATTTAAACTCTTTGATTTGAGCTCAAGCAGAGACTGGCAATTTCAATGAAAAGACGTATATAGACAACAGACTTTTTCCTTTTTTAAGAGTATTTTCTTCAAAGGACTGAAGTTTAGCAGAGCAGAAAAACTATCAACCAGGGCTCTAAAGACAAATTCTTTATCCAAAAGTGGTCCCTGCCTTTCCATCGTTCTATGGCTCTAAAAAAAGAGAAAAATCAAACCTTTCTTAGAAAAGAGTCTCTAAGGAATGCAAGGAGACCAAATAATAGGAAAACTTCAGACTGTGAAAAACAACCCCAAACTCTTTCTTCATGAAAACATCAAAGACAAACAGATATATTTCTTACATTTGAAGGATGAGGTTCTTTATGAATATTTATTTCCTGGATGTGTTCTCTGTACTGCAAAGTCCTGGGATACAAAGATTAAGAAGAGAAGCTTTGCCTTAAGGCATTCATTATTATCTTATAAAGGCATCAAGATATAAGCCTACAGAATTTGTCTGACCAAGTTTTCAGGTAGAATAGAAAAGTCCAGCCTTTTTATGTCATCGGAGAATAGAAGTCATACTCAGGTGAAGGGTGCTCGGAGCTGACTGCCCAAGAGCCCTCCTCCGTGTGACAGAAGATGGCTGTTAATCCTTGTTATGACCTGTTGAACAGCAGAAGGGGTGGAAAGAGGTGGCAGAGTTCCCATGACCTCCCAGATTGTCTTTATCCAGCTTCCAGCTTACCTCCATGTTTGTCCCCTGATCAGAGTTCAGGTCCTGCTGTAACTCCAGCTTTTCAATTTGTCCCTCCAGGGACATCACCTCATTTAATAAGCTGCAAACAAAACAAGAGATGGACTGAGTCCTGTGAATTGAGAAACACACCCAGTGGGTGATCTTCTTGATCAAAATGCAATCCTATTCCTATATAGGATCACTCTTGGGTAGTGGTCGTGTTGGAATGGGAAGTCATGAATGCAATTTAAGAAAGTGAAAAACACTCTAAATAATCTAAATAATAGTAAAGAAAAATAGGCCTAACTGGTTAGAGGAGCAGAAAATTAAAATGGTTAAAATGGAAATTTAAATATCTAGAAAAAACATATAAAATCTTTGGGATCTAGGACAAAGCAGAGTTCTTAGACTTCACACCAATAACACTTACCCATAAAAGGGCAGATTGATAAACTGGACCTCATCAAAGTTTAAAACTTTTGCTTGGTCAAATAATTTGTTAAATGGATTTGCATATCATATATCTGGCAAAAGTCACATCTAGAATATGTGAAAATCTCTCAAAACTCAACGTTAAAAAAAACAAATGAGAAAATGAACACAGGACATGCACAGAAATTTCACTAAGGAGATATACTGATGGCAAATAAACACCTAAAAGGTTGTTAGCACCACTGGCCATTAGTGAAATACAAATCAAAACTACAATGAGATATCACTAGAAACTTATAAGAATAGTTAGGATGAAAAACAGTGAGGACAGAGAGAATGTGGGGAGCTTGGGGGTTACTCTTATATTGGTGGTGGGAATGTAAGATGGTACAGTCACTCTGAAAAGTAGTTTGGCAGATCCTGTCAAAACTAAAGACAGATTTTCCGTATCATCTGCAATTTCACTCTTGGACAAGTATCCCAGATGAAGATTCATTTTCACACAAAGTTGTATGTGAATTTTCAAAGTAGCTTTATTCCTAATAGCCAAAAACTAGAATTATGCAATTGTCTTCTGTTGGGTGAGAATATATATATATCCCTACCATGGAATACTACTCAGCAATGAACAGGAAGGAACTGCTGACACAAGCAACAGCTTGGATGATCCTCAAGGAAATTATGCTAAGTGAAAAAGCCAGTCTCAAAAGGACACTAGTGCATGACTTGACTTATACAACATGTACGAAATAACATAATTATAGATGGAACAGATCTGTCATTGCCAGGGTTAGGGCTGGGTGAGAGAGAATGGGTGTGGCTATAAAGCGGTAGCAAAGGACTCTTGTGCAGAAGTCAGGTGAGACTATTGATTGCGGTAGTTATGCAAGGCTACACATATGATTAAATTGCACAGAACTATACACACACACACAAATGAGTGTGCACATATAACTGGTGAAGTCTGAATAAGCTTCGTTGGTAGTACTAATGTCAATTTCTGGGTTTGGTGGCATACGAGAGCTGTACAAGACATTTGGAAAAGCTGAGGGAAGGGTGCATGGAGCTATCCTGGAAATTTATATGAAACATTTTGTGAATGTGTAACTACTTCAACATAAAAAATATGTGAACATTATTAATGACTTTAAGCCAATAAATTTGACAATTTAGATGAAATAGGCAAAGTCCTGAAAGGACAGTCTATCACTAAAGCATACTCAAGAGCTAGTAGCCTGAGCAGCCCTACATATCATTAAATAAAGTAAATTTATTAAGTTAAAAATCTTGCCACTATGAAATCTGCAGGCACCAATGCACCAATGAGGTGGGCTGTTGTTCATTCCTTTTTACTGAACAGCAAAGCCAAGGCTTAAAAAAGCTTGACTAACTTATTTAAGACAAGTCAATGTCAGGATTCAAACCTGGGTCCTTCTGACTTCAAAGCCCATTCTTTTTATACCAGTGACCAGATAAATAACAACTACTCTTATGTTTTCTGTTCCATTCTGAAGCTTTCCACTTAAGTTCAGATAACATTAACAAATATACTTAAAAACTGTTTCCCTGTCATGCTGGTTGGCTCCCTTTGAACAATACTGGCAAAAGCTGAAGGGTCACTGGGGGCTCGAAGACTTCCCTTTGGTAACTGTTCGTGTAGATTCAAAGGAAGTCTGTGAGGTAAATCCTTCCCTTGAGAGGAGAACAGATATGCAGATAACTTTAATGCAGGCTTTGAGGTTTTCTGACATGGACTTCTGTTCCTAAGACGTTGTACTTCTTACCTTAAAGACTTCCCCAAAGACCTTCCCACCTGCAACCTTGAGTGTTTTAAATTTCTGAAGCTCTGAAAATTTTCACTTTTTCTGACCAATCTTGAGATCCTACAATTACCTCTTCACTGTTTTCTATTAGGTTTATTTTTTGTATAATATTGTTCATTTTCTCCATCCAGCCTGTGTGGTCAGCTCCGAGTTCTTTCACTTGTAGATCCATCTGGGTATTCCAATGGTTGAACTTGAAGAACGTGGTCTCCTGACTCCTGCAGAAATAGTATTATGATCAGTTCTAAGGCAGAAAATGAGAAAGATCTCACATGGCCCCAAACCTTTTTCCTTTGAATGGCCAATTGATCTGCTTACTCATTTTCTGTTACCAAAATGGGCCAGACAGGCAGTTAGGCCTCAAGAAACAAGTTTGGGCACTTATTTGATGTCCCACTTGAGCAGATTTTTATAAAGCTGGAGAAAAGAAAGTATATTTTATATTTAGTTTTTAAAAAATGGATATATTTTGCATTTTCCTGCATGGAGTGAATGTTAGGTATTGATTTCAGAACAGTGGTTGCATCTTGTTGGGGGAGAAGAGGCACACAATGGGTAAAGGGTCTCCAGGGGCCTAATAATATATTTTTAAGGATAATTATAATACTTTTCATATTGAGAAAATTATCTGAGAGTGACAAGGTGTGTATGTATAAGTCTCAGGTTCCAAAAAAAGAGCTTGCATGGCTCGGCCTCTATCTCTAGAAATGTCCTTACTCGGTTGCTGGAACAGATAGGTGGTTACTCACTTGGGCACATGAGTGCTTCATGGTTCAAGACATCTATGGATTTTAAATCTTCTAGGCTTTCCATAAGTTCTCTGTTAAATTTCATTTTCCCCTCCACAAAACACAATAAGTGTTCCCTCTTGCATGTGCCAAGCTTACAGTTCAGAGACGTCCTGCTCTGAAAACCACAAAGATGTGGACACTCAAGGATCCTCACATTGAGCCTGATCCACTCCTTGCTCAGCCTGTTCACTGAGCAGGTCCTGGTCATTCTCAGCCTCCAGCTGTAACATACCCCGATAAAGATGATTTCTTTCTATGAAATAAATTTATTTCTATGGAAGAAGCAAAGCAGAGCAAAAGGGTTACCCCAAGAAGTGGTGGTCCCTCTGGCCTGCCCATGTCCCCTTCTCTCAGGGCAAGTACGTAGCCCGCTGGATACTGGAGCCTTCTAATGCACTTGTAAGGTAAGCAGGCGTGCCCTTCTGCTGTGTGGGCAGAGGAAGGCTGGGGCGGGAATGTGAGAAACGTCAGGGTCCACCGGAGAGTGCTTTTCAGGGCTGGTAAGTAACAGACTTCCACCTGACCATGGACTCTAGCACTCCACTTAAATAAGGTGACCGACTGGTCTCTTCAACAAAGTCAATGTCAAGGAAAACAAAGAAGTGAGACTGTTCTTTATTAAAAGAGTCTAAAGAGATATAAAAACCAAATTCATTGCATTGATCTTGTTTAGATGCTGATTTAAAAAAACATGGGCTATGAAAGTCATTTGGTGGACAATTGAAAAAATTAGAATATTGGGAGAATTGAGGATAGTAGGTTATATTATGGAATTATTGCTAATTTTCCTAATGTGATAATGGTATTTTCATTATGTAGAAGAAAATCTTCATTTTTACAGATGCTCTCTGAAGTAAACAGGGATGAAGTGTCATGCTGTCTCTCTGACCTACTTTTAAATGGTTCACAAATTTCCATCTACTTACATACATAAAGATTAAGCAAATAGGACAAATGGTAAGTTTTAAAATTCAAGTGTGAGAAAAAAAAGCTAAGTGTAAGACTATGATTAATCATCATATAATTCTTTTTCTTTTTCTTTAATTTTTTCATAATTAAAAAAATGCCTACTCTATCAATTTGACCCACAACATTTATTTCTTTGCTTTGTTCTAGAAAAACATCCAAGGAATTTTCTGGTATTTCAATTCTCTGCTTGCATACACAAATGACAATAATTTATCTTTGAACATTTCTCTTTTTTAGGGAACTACACTGTGAAATGTTTCTTCTGTCCTTTGAAGACATTTGGTCTGAAATGCTTGTGTTTCAGCAAAAGTGTTTTAAGCTAGAAGGAGAAAAAGCTGGAGTTGGGAGAACAGATCCGTCTGTTACTGTACCGTCTATATAAATTACTAAGACAATAGAAATAACTAACATTTGTAACAAATAACTATAGGAAGTAACTCTATAAATTTCTTTCATGGAAATTATTTCTTTTAATTATTATAATAGACTTGAGGTGGATAAAGGCAGGTATGGAAACCCCCCGTGGCCATCCGTATTTATTGATTTGCCTAAGGTCATATAATACAGTGAATCAAGCAGCCACCCCCAAAAAGGTATGTCCCTGTCCTCATACTGAGACGCTGTGAAAGTGACTATTTTCGGATAGAGTCTCTGCAGATGTAATTAAATTAAGGATCTTGGGATGAAATTATCCTGGATTACCAAGGTGGACCCTCAGGCTGGTAACAAGGGGTCCTAATGAGGGACAGAAGAGAAAACGCAGACACGGAGGCCACGTGTCCCGCAGCCACAGCCTGGAAGCGCCGGCAGCTGCCACAACAGACTGAGCAGGCCAAGGACGATTCGCCCCTAGAGCCTTTGGAGGAAGGCTGGCCCCCTGATTTCTGAATTCCGGCCTCTAGAAACTAGGAGAGAATATTTTTGTTATTGCTCTAAACCACCAAATTTGCAGTTATTTTTTTCCAGCAGCCACAGGAACCTGTGCTCGGTTTTCTGGTTCCGAGACCACGGCTCTTCCATCATCCCTAGTCCTGGGTTCAGAGTTATGAAATTCCTGCCACTTTCACAGCCCAGGGGCACCTCGTCAGTGATGTAAGGATCACGATCAGGCTGACGACAGCTGAAGAAACTAAAGCTAGATTTTCCAAGTATTATATGACTGTGACTCTACTATGTCTTAGCGAACTCTTTTTGAATAGAGAGCATCCTCAGTTTCAAATCTTTGCTGAAATATTCAGAAACAGCAAACACACTGCTGTAGGGCAAGAATACCACATTGTAAACTGGAGGGCCTATGATCTAAGGCTTTTCCTACTGACATGGGTGTTGAAGCCCCTGGCTACTCTAAGGCTCAGTTTTTTGTTCTGTAACAAGACAATTGAACCAGATCATCACAGAATCCAGATCAACCCTAGGCTTCCATGTCCAATAATCTATGATGACATTTCTTGTTCTCATCAATCAATTCACTGTAATGGTCAATATGCCACAAAAGAGTCAAAAGGCAGGAAGTAGAAATAAAATATCTTTTTAAATCTGCAGGATGGAGTTGTACGTGTGTGTGTATGTGTTTAATAACAAACTAGAAGTGAGCTTGCATGAAATAAACAGCCTGAGGGCATTATTTTCCATTTCGTACAGCTCTCTGAAGAGTTCAGATGTCTCCGTTTGGCTGTCCATAAGCACCTGGAACTCAGCGAGAGAAGTACTGGACACCTCATATTACCCCTCTACTTTGGCCAGGTGCCCCGTCCCTGCTTATGGTCTCCCATCAATCCAGATGCCTCTCCCCAAACCAGGAAGTCCTTGAATTTTCACAGGAGCCAGTCCTCTCCCTTTCATTGCCCATGTCAGATGCACTTCATTTCCAAGCCCAGTAACACCCATCTTTTAAGTCCCTGTCCTCCCCAGCTGGTTGTCATGACATCCCTGCCTCTACTCTGTGCCTTACTCTGCTCCTCATTGATTCTTTTTCATTTTCTTCTTATTGAAGTATTCTTGATATACAATTCTATGTTGGTTTCAAATGTACAACACCGTGGTTCAACAGTTCCCCATATTATTGAAGCCTCACCTCCACTGGCACAGTTACTATCTACCAATGGAGAAAGATGTTACAGAATCATTGACTATTTTCTCCATGCTTTACTACTGTCCCTGTGACCAGCTTACATTGTGATTGATTGCAAATTATTATGCCCCTTTATCCCCCGTCACCCTCCACCATCCCCTGCCCTAACCCCTCTCCCCAGGTAACCACTAGTCACTTCTCAGTGCCTACGAGTCTACTGCTGTTTTGTTCCTTTTGTTTTGCTTTATTTTTATATTCCACAAATAAATGAAATCATTTGGTATTTGTGTTTCTCTGCCTGAACATGGGCTATGAAAGTCATTTGGTGGACAATTGAAAAAATTAGAATATTGGGAGAATTGAGGATAGTAGGTTATATTATGGAATTATTGCTAATTTTCCTAATGTGATAATGGTATTTTCATTATGTAGAAGAAAATCTTCATTTTTACAGAAGCTCTCTGAAGTAAACAGGGATGAAGTGTCATGCTGTCTCTCTGACCTACTTTTAAATGGTTCACAAATTTCCATCTACTTACATACATAAAGATTAAGCAAATAGGACAAATGGTAAGTTTTAAAATTCAAGTGTGAGAAAAAAAAGCTAAGTGTAAGACTATGATTAATCATCATATAATTCTTTTTCTTTTTCTTTAATTTTTTCATAATTAAAAAAATGCCTACTCTATCAATTTGACCCACAACATTTATTTCTTTGCTTTGTTCTAGAAAAACATCCAAGGAATTTTCTGGTATTTCAATTCTCTGCTTGCATACACAAATGACAATAATTTATCTTTGAACATTTCTCTTTTTTAGGGAACTACACTGTGAAATGTTTCTTCTGTCCTTTGAAGACATTTGGTCTGAAATGCTTGTGTTTCAGCAAAAGTGTTTTAAGCTAGAAGGAGAAAAAGCTGGAGTTGGGAGAACAGATCCGTCTGTTACTGTACCGTCTATATAAATTACTAAGACAATAGAAATAACTAACATTTGTAACAAATAACTATAGGAAGTAACTCTATAAATTTCTTTCATGGAAATTATTTCTTTTAATTATTATAATAGACTTGAGGTGGATAAAGGCAGGTATGGAAACCCCCCGTGGCCATCCGTATTTATTGATTTGCCTAAGGTCATATAATACAGTGAATCAAGCAGCCACCCCCAAAAAGGTATGTCCCTGTCCTCATACTGAGACGCTGTGAAAGTGACTATTTTCGGATAGAGTTTCTGCAGATGTAATTAAATTAAGGATCTTGGGATGAAATTATCCTGGATTACCAAGGTGGACCCTCAGGCTGGTAACAAGGGGTCCTAATGAGGGACAGAAGAGAAAACGCAGACACGGAGGCCACGTGTCCCGCAGCCACAGCCTGGGAGCGCCGGCAGCTGCCACAGACTGAGCAGGCCAAGGACGGATTCACCCCTAGAGCCTTTGGAGGAAGGCTGGCCCCCTGATTTCTGAATTCCGGCCTCTAGAAACTAGGAGAGAATATTTTTGTTATTGCTCTAAACCACCAAATTTGCAGTTATTTTTTTCCAGCAGCCACAGGAACCTGTGCTCGGTTTTCTGGTTCCGAGACCACGGCTCTTCCATCATCCCTAGTCCTGGGTTCAGAGTTATGAAATTCCTGCCACTTTCACAGCCCAGGGGCACCTCGTCAGTGATGTAAGGATCACGATCAGGCTGACGACAGCTGAAGAAACTAAAGCTAGATTTTCCAAGTATTATATGACTGTGACTCTACTATGTCTTAGCGAACTCTTTTTGAATAGAGAGCATCCTCAGTTTCAAATCTTTGCTGAAATATTCAGAAACAGCAAACACACTGTGCTGTAGGGCAAGAACACCACATTGTAAACTGGAGGGCCTATGATCTAAGGCTTTTCCTACTGACATGGGTGTTGAAGCCCCTGGCTACTCTAAGGCTCAGTTTTTTGTTCTGTAACAAGACAATTGAACCAGATCATCACAGAATCCAGATCAACCCTAGGCTTCCATGTCCAATAATCTATGATGACATTTCTTGTTCTCATCAATCAATTCACTGTAATGGTCAATATGCCACAAAAGAGTCAAAAGGCAGGAAGTAGAAATAAAATATCTTTTTAAATCTGCAGGATGGAGTTGTACGTGTGTGTGTATGTGTTTAATAACAAACTAGAAGTGAGCTTGCATGAAATAAACAGCCTGAGGGCATTATTTTCCATTTCGTACAGCTCTCTGAAGAGTTCAGATGTCTCCGTTTGGCTGTCCATAAGCACCTGGAACTCAGTGAGAGAAGTACTGAACACCTCATATTACCCCTCTACTTTGGCCAGGTGCCCCGTCCCTGCTTATGGTCTCCCATCAATCCAGATGCCTCTCCCCAAACCAGGAAGTCCTTGAATTTTCACAGGAGCCAGTCCTCTCCCTTTCATTGCCCATGTCAGATGCACTTCGTTTCCAAGCCCAGTAACACCCATCTTTTAAGTCCCTGTCCTCCCCAGCTGGTTGTCATGACATCCCTGCCTCTACTCTGTGCCTTACTCTGCTCCTCATTGATTCTTTTTCATTTTCTTCTTATTGAAGTATTCTTGATATACAATTCTATGTTGGTTTCAAATGTACAACACCGTGGTTCAACAGTTCCCCATATTATTGAAGCCTCACCTCCACTGGCACAGTTACTATCTACCAATGGAGAAAGATGTTACAGAATCATTGACTATTTTCTCCATGCTTTACTACTGTCCCTGTGACCAGCTTACATTGTGATTGATTGCAAATTATTATGCCCCTTTATCCCCCGTCACCCTCCACCATCCCCTGCCCTAACCCCTCTCCCCAGGTAACCACTAGTCACTTCTCAGTGCCTACGAGTCTACTGCTGTTTTGTTCCTTTTGTTTTGCTTTATTTTTATATTCCACAAATAAATGAAATCATTTGGTATTTGTGTTTCTCTGCCTGGCTTATTTCACTGAGCATAATACCCTCAAGCTCCATCCATGTTGTTGCAAATGGTAGGATTTCTTTTCTTCTTATGGTTGAATAATATTCTCTTGTGCTTATGTAGCACATCTTCTTTATCCACTCACCTACTGACGGACACTTGGGCTGCTTCTCCTGTTGGTGTTTCGGCTTCCAGTCTGCGTCCTGCTCTCTCTCTACCTCCTTAGTGTCCTGCCTGCCTGCTTGCCCGTCAGGCCTCTTCTTTCACCCTTCCTCTCTCAGGACACAATTTATCATTGGCCTCACTGTCTTTGTATGTGCCGCTTTCCTTTCTGAAATGTTTTCTTCAATCTAGTGTATCCTTCAAAACTCAGTTGTCACAGTCCTTAGTCATCTGCCTGTACGTCCCCTGCCAGCTACTGGAAGCACACTTGCTACTCTGAGTGTGGGTTTCAGAATACAAAGCCATTATTTTGTCTGAGTTCCTACTAGTGTGTGAGCTCACAGAAGGGAAAGGATTTTATATGTATGTGTCACTGGCACTTTACAGTGCCCAGAATATAGCAGATGCTTAATAAGTAGATTTAGAATAGTCTTCCTATATTTACTGCAGCACTATTTACAATAGCCAAGTTATGGAAGCAACCTAAGCGACCATCAATAGATGAATGAATAAAGAAGGTGTGGTACAAATATACAACAGAATATTACTTGGCCATAAAAAAGAATGAAACCTTGCTGTTTGTAACAGCGTGGATGGATCCTGAGGCCGTTATGCTCAGTGAGACAAGTCAGCAGAGAAAGACAAATGCCACATGACTTCATTTACATGTGAAATCTAAACAACAAAACAAATGATTAGGCTTAAGACAAAACAGAAACAGACTCATAAATACAGAAAATGGGTGGTTGCTGAAGGGGTGGGGTAGGAGGATTGGGAAAAAGGTGAAGAGGATAAAGAGGAGTAAGCTTCCAGTTAAGAAAAAAAAAGAAAAGAAGAAGAAGAAATAGATTTCAGAAATAGGCAAATGTATTCTGCTTGTGAGAGATGCAAACAAAAGCCGGAAATAGGAAAAGTCTGTTCACTCCCCTGGCATCTGAAATCAGCACTGGATATAGCAGTGTCAGGGATCAGGAAATGTGAAACCACAGCGAAATATTCATCTCTAAATATTTGGGGGTCTTTAATGGTTAGATACGGTAGCTTTGGCAGTCTAGCTACAGCCTGTTTTGTTAATTAAACCACAAAATTTTTTTAACTTCTGTTAACTCTGCCCATTGTCTGAATCTGAGCTTTAAATCTTACGATCTTCTCTTACAAAAAGGCAAACGTAAGATGATGCAAAACAGAGACCTTCTGGTGCGATGTTCCTCCAGAAACATTTATCAGCAGAGCCTGATTTATTATTACTTATGTTAATTCTGTAATTGCATGTGATGTGTATGTAATTGTAAAATTTTCCTTATAAACAAATTAATATAAAGTACAATCATAAAATTTTAAAAACCTTTAGTTATATCTTATGCCCTGACTTGAAATTTGTTAGAAATAGACTATATACCTTATGCCCTGAGAGTGTGGACTCTTGGACAAACGGTTACAGACTGAATGATTTTATTCTCCAATTGGACTTATCCTGTCCTGGGTCCGCGAGTGATGGTATCGCGTTTTGCTGACTAACAGGCTTCAGCAGGGCACACTGAACTGGAATGCAGGGCGGTGTGGGGGCAAAGCGGGTCTAATGGTCGCAGCCCTTGCCTAGACTCTGGGACAAGCCCCCTGCAAAGAATCAGATGATGTACCGTACAGTAACACCTTTGATTCGCATGTTCCCTAAGATCACAGCCCCTCACACCTCCATTTCCCCATCTGCTTTTCCTTCCTCAGCCCCTCTAAAAATTCCATCCTGAGACTCCCCTTTTATTTCAGTTTGTGTTATTCTTTTTTTCCATAAATTATATCTGGATGGCTGTCTCTCCTTTCCCTTTTTATCTATCTCATTATTATCTATTCTGCATACCTCCAACTATATCCCCTCATGCTTTCTATTCCCTTCTATTTTGTTGTTTTTCTGTTTACTTACTGCAGAGTCCTTGAAGGTAAAGTCCAGAATATATTCAAAAGAGAAGTAGACAAAGAGATGAATCCTGTGCTTTCTCTAGGGCCTGCCTAAGCCTGGAAGGATGAAATTCCCACTCTGTCCTTCCCTTATGATTTTCAGGCTGGTTGAAACTACCTTCCTCTGATGCCCGTTACCTAGGGAATCTCTGGAGAGATTTTTGTCTTTGGTAATAACATGATCTAATTGGTACTGGAAACATAAACTCTGCCCAGGACAGTCTCAGGAGTTTGTCAAAATTCCCTCCATTCCATGTCAGCTTGGTGACTGACTGTCCAAGACAGGCTCAGGCTGAGTTAAGAACAAACAGATCATCTCTCTCTGATTGTGCTGTTAGAAGACGATCTGTGAGCAGGGCGCAATTTTACACACAGTGTCTTGCTCTAAGGTGAAAAACGTCAGTTATTTCACAAACTCCAAGGACAAAAATAACATAAAATGCGCATTTTGCAGGGAAGGCTAGTAAGTCCCTCACGTGACAACACCAGGCCTCACGTCCCTCTGGTTTCAAATGAACGTCCTGCACCTATTCGGAGGAAACCCTTTGAGATATGAGATACAATGTTCCTCTCTTCACCCGCGGTGATATCTAAGCCTCTCCCTTACCCACTGTGTAGTCTCCACCTCGTGAAGGAAGTCGCTTTGAGGGTTTTCAGAGAAAATGCCGTCTTCTTCATCAGGTCCGTTCAAGACGTGGTCTCTTTCGGTAAATTCCCTTAGCAAACTGCAAGCCACACAATTGAAACAGATGCTGTTACTATGCCCGGGTCTGTAGCTTGGGCCCGCCCCAAACACTTCTAGAGGGAGGACACCGGGCTCTTTCCTGGCCCCAAGGAGCACCTGCTAGCCTCATACTGATTGCATTCTGTGAGAATAATGTCTACCACAGTACACAGCACAGAATAGGAACAGAGAGGTTAAACACTTATTACCGAATCAATAAATGATTTAACAGTGAGATGCCAAGTTCCAAAGCCATTGCAGCTGGGTGTGCACAATAAACAAATACTAAATAAATATCTCCTTTTACAAAGTAGAGTTAAAAAGTGCCACATGGTTCAAAGGACCATGCAGAAGGGAGTAAGCCTATGACACCATCTTGCTCTCTAGCCCTCAGATGTCCTTCCCACAGCCTTTGCTAGTTTCTATTTCTCCCCAGAGCTTCTATGAATAAGCAGCTATGTTTATATAAGTAAATAGATGCTTTTTTACATCTCAGTGAGAGGATATTTATATATACACTATTCTGTACCTTCTTTTTCTGTTTTAATAACCTACCTTGGAGATCATTTCATATTAGGAATGGACTGAGCTTAAAATTTTCATTTTAAAAATAATTAATATTCTATCACATAGTAATTGGGAAATCAGTTCTTTATTATTGGATATGTACTTTTTTCTGATCAGTTACTACAAACGATGCTGCGTGAATATTCTCACACTGCGTGAATATTCTCACACATCTCTGTATTGATGTGTATATGCACATCAATGGGAGAACCCTAAAAATAGACTTGCTGGGTCAACAGATATGTGTGTATTTCAGATTTTGATACATTTTATCAATTATGCTTTAAAGAAGCTGAATCCAAGTACATTTCTGGCAAAAACAATAAGAGTGCGTGTTTTCCACTCCTTTTCTAGAACCACGTTTTATTAAAGTTTTTAATCCTTGCCATCCTGGTATGCTTAAATTGGTATATCATTTGAGTTCTAATTCGTTTATAAGTGAACTGAGCATCTTTGCCTATATACATATAAAACCTGATTGTACTTCCTTTGCTATGATAATTGTTTTGATATAGTTGCCCATTCTCTATTGGACTATTAGTTTGCTGGAGTGCATATATGTATATACATGTACACCACACACACACACACACACACACACACACACACACACACACACACTTTCGGATGAATTACAATACATCTGTGGTGCAGGTCTACGGTTCCCAGTCTGTGGCCTTGAACCCTGAAGTGTGGAGCACTCTATCCCTACACTGCATAGAACGGGGTCTCTCTCCATACATTTCTATAGACTGAATAAATATGGCTTACATGAATAAAAACTTAATGTGTATGCTACTGTTATTAATAAATCATAAATGCATTTTAAAACATCTCTGATATAATATCTTTACTGACATATGAGGGATTCTGGAAAATCTTACTTTAAAAAAGTTCTTATTTAAAAAGGTTGTTAGTGATTGGTTTATATTAGAACATATTTTCATCATGTATTAACAAATGCATATATGTATTTATGAATATTTGTACTTCTGCAGAAAGTATTTTAAGTGGGCTATGTCTTTAACACATAAAAATAGCAAAGGCACAAAACAATCAATATAGTTTTTAAATTGAGATAGTCTTGGACATTTCTAGTCCACTGATGTACACCTAGTTGATGATCATAGACCCTTTTACTGTCTCACAGGACCTACCACAATAAATATTCATGAAGTCAAAATTAGAAGAATTGTAGAAAATGTCAACCCCAAATCTGCACTGGGAAATCTCATCATTTGCATCCTAATGGCCCAAATGAAGCCTCCAGATAGGAGCCCAGAAACTGAGCTCGTGTGAGCTCAGCCCTGACTTACTTCTGCACCATGCCTTCAGCCATATCGATATTTTGGAGAAAGCCACTGTTTTTCTCAGTTAACTGTTCTTCCTTCCCAGCCATCTTCATCTGCAGAGACATCGTGTCACTTAGCTTCGTAAGAGCCATTTCTTCAGCGCTGCAGGGACAATGGCAACAGTAAGACAGGTTTCATGACAGTATTGACAACTTCATCCCCCACACTGGGTTGCTGACAGCAGATGTATTTCAGGGAATTTGGCCTTAACCCCTCTCCTTCCAAGACCAGCCAGCAAACATAAGGGACTGTCATTTGTAGGTATCTCTGCTCAGATACATACAGGAAGGATTTGTCTGTGCTGTGCTGTCCCTAAAGACATCTCTGGCTAATGTGAGGACCTTTGAGCCTGTAAATGTGTGTTTAATTCCTGAATAGGAATATTATAGAGCTATATAAAATAGCCAGGCTAGAAAGATGGGAACCTTCACTCTTATAACCGCTTTCTGATGATATATATGCACATCATAAAAAAGATAGAAAAAGAAAAAGCATTGGTTCTCCAGAGATAACCAGAGATATCCAGACAAAATCACTGTTCATATTTTGGTATTATATCTTTCCATTTCTAAATTTGATATTTGTTATATTCTTTTCTATTGGTGACAATTAGGTTACTTCTAATTTTTCACTAATATAAATAATATGGTACTTAACATCCTCATTTAGTATTTTTTAGTGCATCTCTATTATTTATTTAGAATACTTCCCTAGAAGTAGAACTACTGAGTCAAAGTATATTCAGATGTTAAAATATTCAAAGAAATTTATTTTTAATTCATTAATAGAATAAATATGTTTATAATATATAAATATAATATATAATATAAATAATAAATATATATACATAAATATAAAAGAAATTTATTTTTAAGGATTTAAGGAGGTTTAAGAAAAATATTCAAAATTGCTTTTCTAAAGGTTCGGCCAATATACCCCAACACCAGCTGTGTATGAGAATTGGAACCTTCTTTCCAGCCTGATAGGCAAGCGTTAGCTGGAGAGCAGAGAAGTGTATTGTTAGCACATTTAAGTAGTGAGAAAAATAGAGATGAATGGAAATAGGAAAGAAAGTAGAGAAGTGTAAGATAGGTTCTAGGAAGCTCATATCAAAAGGATTCATGTGAAACATAACTCTTAGTTACCGGCAGAGTTCAGAAGGGTTGTACCCAGTACCAAACAGGAAGAAATCTGTTTCCTCTGTATACTCAAGTAAGTGACGGTAGTAAATGGGCCTAAACTGGAGGGTGGCCTGGCCCCAGGACCCTTAGGGACAGAATTCCTAAGGGACAGAGGGGAATGTAGGCTGACAGAAAAGGAAGCGACAGTAGGGATTTTCCTAGAAAGGTCATTTATGACTGGAATTCAGAACAGTGATAAGAAGGACAGAAGCTCTGGGATCTACAGAGATACTGGAATCATCTCGGCAACCAAGGGCCGGTCCATCACTCTGTGGCAAACTGAGCCTCGTCCTTGACCTGTGGCAAGTGTCCTAGAGCACTGCAGTGCATGTAGGGCAAAGGGGACCCCAGTGAAGGAGAAGCAGCAGGACAGGGCTGGAAGCTTTGATACCAGATGCTCCAGCCTTCTTAACGTTCAGTGTGACCAAGAGTAAACCTTTGACCTCTTTCAGGAAGGACACTGTGACCTGCCCAATCTCATCACAGCTCCTATCCAGATAGTTTCATCTGTTTCCTGAAGGTGGTAAGCATTCCCACGGCAATTCCGAGCTCTGAAAGATGAATGGCCCCTGAGGTGTGCCTGGTTTCATGTCTCTTTCCTGTCCAAAATGTATAATCCTGTGCAAATAATTGGATTTCCTTATTTTGATAACTCTGACGTTCCAGTAGCTTCTGTTGGGTGATTTAAAAGAAAATCTGTTTCTCTCAATTCAGATACCTACACAAATTCTGCCTCCATACAGTTTCTCACAGTTCAAATATACAATTAGAATCCTAATGATGGCCTATGTCTCTGCAGCTCTTAATAGCTTACAAAGTGCTTTTCACCTGTTTTCTTATACAGGTTCCTCAACAGCACGGTGAGGAAGGTGTCATCGCCATCTGACATGCGGGTTGACCAGCCAGCGCTGTAGGAGATGGTGTGATTCACTGTCAGTCATGTAACTGGCTCACCAACAAAGCCGGGAGGACTCAGAACTTCCTTGTTCTCACAACTACCTAAAAGGGACTTCTCCCCCACCTCCACGGAGGATCTGGACCAGGGCTTTCCAGTAAAACTTTCTGGGGTGATGGAAATCTTCGCTACACTGTTCAATACAGTGGCATTAGCCACATGTGCCTAGTGAGCACTTGAAAATGTGACTAATGCAACTGAAGAATTATAATCCAATTTAAATAAATTTAAATGGAAAGAGCCTCATGTGGCTAGCGGCTAGCATACTGGCCAACTCAGAATTTTCTAGACCAGGAATCAGCAACCTATAGCCTGCAGGCCAAGTCCATCCTGCCAGCTGCTTCTGTAAATGACATTTTATGGGAACAGTGCCACACCCATTCCTTTACGTATTGTCTGTGACAGCATTTGTGCTGCAATGTCAGAGTTCAATGCTTGCAAGAAAGACCTAAATGTGATGTGCAGAGCCTAAAATATTTACCATCTTGCCCTTTACAGAAAAAATTTGCCAGCCCCTGTTCTAGAGCATCACCTTCTATGATGCTGGGTGTCTGCTACCATGAATCAACACAACACAGAGAGGAAGAGCTCGAGTTTTGGAGAGTCGGGCCAAGGTCATAACACTTAGCAGCTGGGCATAACCCAGACGTTGTAGGTCTTACTTTCCTCATCCATAGAATGGAGCTAACATTACACTTTTAGTGTTAGAGCTGTGAAGAGTAAATAATTCATATTGTGCTTAATACGGTGTCAGACAGATGCAAACACTCAGCAATGTCATGTGATTATGAAAATGAAACTGGTGGAAGTTTGAAAAAGACAGATGCACCCCTATGTTTATTGCTGCACTATATTTACAATAGCCAAGATATGGAAGCAACCTAAATGTCCATCAGTAGATGAATGGATAAAGAAGATGTGGTACATATA